ACACACAAACACACACACACACACACACACACACACACACACACACACACACACACACAGACAAACCAACAGACACACTTAGCGCGTTATATATAATAGGATAACGAGGTGTTTGATTACGGTAGTTTTTGTCAACCGGTGCGTCAAAATGACGTGAGAGATCGTTGCGCTGTCGTGAGACATTTATCACGCTTCCCAAACTACTACCGCAGTGTGATTTCGAGATAGAAAATTGGTAGAGACCTTGTAGACCGTAATGTGAAGCAAATTTCTCTCATCACGTCATTGTGCCAACAATAGCCTTGACATTGGAAGTGTTTAATAGGACTGAAATTATATGCCAAGGTTATGATAAGAATATTAACCCGAGTTCACTTCGTTACAAGAGTCTTGGGAACAGCCTAAATCAGTAACGGCTTTCGAAACAGGTTTTTCTGAAAACAAAGAGCGCTATAAGCTGATATTTTCATGTACACGGATATGGTCTAGTTAAATAAGTATTGAAGTAAGCAAGTTAATGGATGGTATGCTAGTATTTCTTCACTATAGAAACGTACACAGTGAGTGTATCAAGGCACAATAATTCACCCAGTAGGGTACATATGACATCAACTGATAAGGTAAACAATATGTATGAATCAGGATGTAACCTTTACGTAGGGTTGAGAATGTTCTACAAACAAATATTTGACAGCTGATGGTCGTTCACTTTCCGATTATTCTAAAGCTCTTGGTTATGACTATTTTCGGAAAGCAGATCTTCTTAGTGATCTTCAATTCAATTTATATCAGGGCAGTGCATCGACTAAAATTTGACGTGCCTTATGTCCCTTTCCTATGTTTTTTATTTATTATTATTCCCCGTTGTTTATCAGTTAAGCTGTTGTAACTATTTCGGGACTATTTATTCCTTATGAAGTACTACCATGTACGAATTTCAGTTTTCAGTACAACGCCTTTTTATTACTACACTGTATACTAGTTGGAGGCACTGGATTTTTCAATACGTTTGTAACACTGGCTTGAACAGCGCAGGCCGTAAACCAAAATTTTTGTTCGTTCGAACACTGCATTTTGAAGGGAAATCGATTGCTTGGCGCATTCCAGAGGAATTCATAAGCTGTTTCTTTCTCGCCAACTTTCTGAATATTTGCTAGAACTTCTCCTCTAACTTAACTTCATTGAAAGCATGAACAAGCAAAAGCATGTTGCTTGCAATAGTCCTAGCAGCAACTCGGTTGTTGATTGTAACTGTGTTCGTTCACTTCGCAATGTTTTCACGTGCATCGTCTCATTCCTTCTGTACACGTGAAATAATCGGTGCTATTCAGCCACGCCTTCTCAGCCCAATGATTAGGAACGGAATAGGTCTTCTGAGCGCGCTTCTTTCCCCTTCCTTATAAATGGGAAATTTCTTATGAATTTCCCAGACCCTCGTATACGTGCGGGTAGAGCTAAAGCTCAGTAAGTTATGCGTCATGCAGTCGATTGTCATGCCCTATCCCAGAACTATATAAGTGCTCATTCGTTTTAAATATTGATTTCGCTAGGCAATTTATTGTGAAAAGGAGCTTTTTATAATCAATTTACCAGAAGATTTTCCCCTATGCAAGGTCTTCAGTCCACTTTTACTCTGCTGCTCTTTTAACTATTCTACCTTGAAATTTTTCTTCGATACTTTTGAAATATTAACTGAATTATACAAATAGCCTAGAAAAAGAGCTACGAATAATTCATTATGGGTCGCGACACCATTGGAGGTTTTTTTCATCACTCAGAGGTACCTGAGCTGGAACTGACCAAATTCTCAGATGTCTCGAAATACAAATATACAGGTTAATTTCTAGCGCTCGCGTTTTTCTTGCGTACATTCTCAGTTTTCAAGTGATCTCAACTTTTAGCGGAGCCAGCAATCAAACGAGTAAACCAACCCGAGCTCAATCCTAGCCATTCACCTCCTCATGAAGCTCGTGAAGGTGATTATCAGTTAGTGCAATAGCAGTCTTCGTATAGAAACAATATAGAACATCCTTCTTGCATTTCAAACCATTATTGAGTAGACATTTGATTTCTTTTTTTCGTGTAACGTTGTACCGTTGTAACGTTCAGTGGGAAGTGAAGTATCCTAAAAACTGCTCAACCCTTACAAGACAATCACGAGTTTTTTAGGGTTTGAACTCAATAGATACTACTTCCTGTGGAAATTAAATGAATGGATAGGATTACGCCATCTGTTCATGATTTTCCTGGTGATCTCCTACACGAGTATCGGAGCGCACCTCTTCTACAGGATTGAGTCAGTAAATGAACAAAAGGTAGAATGGTTTTTTCACCTAACAGTATTCAGTATTAATTATACTATCACTGCAATGGAAAGAGAGCTTATTATTGGTAGCTCCGAATGATTCAGGTGTTTCCTGTACGAATGAAAGATCTAAGCCAAAAGGTGTTTTCAATAGCAAAGAAATTCAAGGATAACAGCTCATGGAATGCGACGACCATTTTCAATGAGTTTAAAGTGAGTACACTTTGGCCATGGAAGGTCGATGGCTAGTGTCGATCAAACTCTCTAATGCTTCATTACAAAGCACAATTAACGATAGAGATGGTTTTAGAGATATTCATCTAGGATGAACAGGTGTCCCGTGTGCTATGTTGGGCGCTGTTGGTTAGAAAGAAGTTTTAGATGGAGTGCAGTAAGGGCCCGAACACCGGCTAGACCTACGCCCACAATTAGAAGTGGTCGTGCTTCAACGGCCTCGTAGACACTACATCATTCACAGTGGAACACACATTTTGATAATAATTCAACCAATTAGTCGTGACCCATGGCGACAGTGAAAGGCAATTTTTGAGATTTGTGGCTTACTCTAGCATTCGCACACGGCAAATCTCGTCCAAATACCCTTCTCTATCATTTGAGTCGTGGTGATCTCGTACAACCCCTAATTTCACTATTATAAAAGAGCTCATATTTTGCAAATTCTGCGGATTTTCGTCCCCATGCTCTGTTTCTCACCAACACTCACGCCTTTAACATGAGAAAAGTATCTCGAGGTTTCGTGAATTGTGCCTTCAAAACCACGGTATACATAAGAAAGAGATTACCTACTCTAAGCAATGGCGTGTGAGGCTAAACTATATCCAGATCAATTAAGTCCGATGGGCCTCTACACGAACTCATTCTTGATATATTATTTTGACTTGGGTGCCGTTTTGCCAGTTCTGCATTCATCGCATGCAAAAGTCTTGCAAGAGCCTCACGACAATGGCCTCAGTACTTCCAGAAAGACTACAAAGAGCTGCTATTTTTTGATAACATCTACAAATGGTCGACCTACTATCGTACGGAAGTGCAATACAAATGGAATCCATGGAGTGCGACATTTTTTGCAATGAATCTCTACACAACTGTTGGATACGGTAATGTTTTGGATCTAGTAAAAAGTCATTTTTAAGAATTGAAAATTCGGCAATTGAAGCCTAAGTAGTAGAGACAGTCCATAATGCTCGCTATCTTCGTTTTTTGCTGAAGTCTAGGAAACGGAGTCATCACAAAGAATAGAGGGTAACCAGCTTCGTCTCAGCCGGGACTCGAACGCGGGCAAGGAAGCCGATACAAGCCCATGCGGTCTTTTTAGATGTAGTGGGGTAAGCCAGTTGCTCTGAAAACATACCCCGCCCGACGGAATTGTATTAGGTTGATGCATAATTATTGCGGATTTGTTTCAGCAAGTTTTACTTGAAGAAAAGATGGAAATATCTAGCGAAGACATGTTCAAATAATTGCTCCGAAACATATCCACCATCTACGTCAAGCACTGCGTCATTTGCTAGGCTGTCGGATTTCACAGGCGAAGATGTTTCGATTGTTGGAGGCCATCACGCCTTGACGTTGGCCATCAAGCCATCTACTTTGTTGAAAGTTGTGATCGTTTACCAATTTTTCACAGGGCGATTGACGTGATAATTCATAGAAGTATCTGTTGGTGAGTAGGGCGACCGCAGAAGCAGATTCCATTCCTTGTTCGACTCTAGCTGACTGTTCCATAGCCGAGAAGTTCGTTTGGATCACGTTACGAGTGGGCAGCCTCCCAACATTTCTCGAAGTAATAGAGTATAATTCGGCGTATATGAAGATGCTTTTCTAGATATATTTCTGTTAAGGAAGCGAGAAGATTATTTTTACATTAATCTTCAAAAGTTCAAGTTAATTGGGAGAAAAGAAGCCGCGAAAAAATCCGCAATAATTATGCATCAACCTAATAATTCCCTGTGCACTGTGGGCACCACAATTATCGACTATACTTATTGTCAGGCTAGCTATCTCTGAAGTTTTCACTTACAAGGAAGGTCTTTCAGGGCGTGGGACGCTTTTTGAAAATGGTTTCTATGCATGGTATAGAGGCATGAGCACTGAGTATAGAAGTATGGTCCATTTCCGCTAAATGACCTTCTGAATGCCAAAAAAGAGTGAAAATGTTTTTGTCAGAATTACCGTTTTAAACCTCCAAGCGTCGCTTGTTTCATTCATGGCGTTGACTGCCCGCATAGTAGAAGGCGCCGGTGGACTACTCATTGAAAATGACGTGAACGCTAGCCAGAAAAGGGAGCCCACATGTTGAAACATGATGAAAAATGCAGGGAAGTTTCATATGTGCTCCCCGCGGCGACGGATGATGTACTGGATAGCGATGTGGTCTTCGAAATGGGGGACTAGGCTGGTTGATGTTTCGGGTTTCCTGGGCGCCGCCGCTTTGCGTTTTATGCTGCCACCTCCAGATCGGCTCCATCTTGCTCCAGGGCCAAAGCAAGTGCCTGACTGGTCATGGTCGTGACTAGGAACAGCGATAATATCTACAGGGCAGTAGAAAGATACGGTAGTCGCCACGAAGTAAACGAGTGAATTTCACGTAGAAGGATACGGTAGTCAACACGGAAATTCTGCCGCTCGACGTGTGAATTCGATGGAAGTACCGCCACCTGTTATGGATCATCAGAGATGGGTCACGGTGTAGTGGGGTTCCCGAACGGACCATAAGCAGCGATCATGAGGACGAATCTGCCCTCTCCCAGCTTTTGGGTCTCGGATTCTGGGTAGTTGGCTTCCAAACTGGGATGAACCATTGAATGATTTCTCTATCAGTGTATCACGCTGTATCTTGCTCACCTGTCTTACTCGCAATCCACGAGAACCGACGTTGCGATTCTGTGCTGGTGAACGGCTGTTGCCACTGCTGTTCGTATTGGCGTTCTTCTTGAAGTGCCGATTGTAGCCCTGTTCATCGGCATGTTCGTCAGAAGTGCGCTGACCAACACACGTCGAATCAATCTATTTTCCGCCGTTGTCACCAGGATTTTTAATGCACATGAAGAGCACAGTGAACTCATAGCTCTTGCGACAGCCTTCCCTCCGAAGTCAAGGCATCTGGGTGATTTATAACATGATGGCAACGTGGGGATACCCATATCATTCATTAGCTGTTACGTGGGTAGGCCAGATAGTACTTCCTTGGTGCCTCACAGCACAGCCTACCTTCACCTATGTCATAGCCCGCTCACATTGCAGAATGGTTGTGTCGCCCTGTTACTTACAGGGAAACCAGAATGATAAGCTGTGTTTTTTTATATCTTATCTTTCATTTCATTATTGTTGGTGAAAATGGTTTCCGCGGTCTGATTGTAGTCTTGAGTAGGTTTTATCTTATATGGGGTTACATGAAGGTGACGGTCTCGGGAAGGGATAAGTTAGAGAGAATGGAGTGAACGAGCGCAGAGCGTACGTATAAATGCTGAACAATGAAATACCCAGAAATTTGCCGACCTTTTGAATCCCTCGATGAATACGACCTCTCCTCTGAAAAAGCCGTATACGAACCCTACACGCGTACTTCCGCCCTACCAAACCGTGAGCCCATAATTACACGTTTCAATGCTTACTCATTCTTGATCAATGCCATTTTTCGCGGTAACGAATCCTCTCGCACTCGCGGCCATACACACGGAGCCAATCTGGAGGTGGCAGCATAAAATGCAAAAACAGCAGCGCTCAGAAAACCCGAACCATCAAACCAGCCTAGTCGCCCAATTCGAAGTCCATATCCCTATCCGGTACACCATCTGTCGCTGGCAGCAGGGGGACGGAACTTACGTGCGTCCGAGGATGCGCGCGGCAAATTGCGCGGCGAGGTGCGTGGTGGTTCGAACGATTCTGGCGCCTATCATTGGTGTCCAAATTTGAAGTAGAGTAGATTAGTAGTATCAGCTGACCCTAGTAATCTACTGTACTTCAAAATTGGGCCCCAATTCTAGGCGCCAGAGTCGTTCGCATCGCCATGCACTTCGCCGCGCAATTGGCCGCGCGCAATCTCGGGCGCACGTATGTACCCATACCCCTGGCAGCATCGCAACCGTGGAGAGCCTATATGAAACTTCCCCGCACTTCTCAACATGTGGGTTCCTTTTTTGACTACCGTTTACGTTATTTTCAATGCACAGTTCACTGGCGCCTTCTACTGTGCGGATAGTGACGCCATTAATGAAACAAACGACGCTGAGGGGGTTAGAAAGGCAATTTCTGACAGAATCAATTTCACTCCGTTTTTGGCATTCAGAAGGCCATTTAGCAGAAATGGACCATAGTTCTATACTCAGTGCTCATGCTTCTATACCATGCAAAAAATCATTTCGAAAAGTGTCCCACGCCCTGAAAGACCTTCCTTGTTAGTCCTCAACAGATGACTGTCTGCAGTCTAACTGTATCTATATGCACTTAATGTCAGAGGCACAGCTAGCCTGCTGAGCTTGGTGAGATCCTGGAATTCTGAGAGGAGGAAACATAAGACATTCAATCTCGAGCCCGTCTGAATTGAAATATCGTTCCATCAAAGTAATTGTTATGTATCTGGCTAAGTTTCAGGAACGATTGCTGCTGAAACCATGACTGGAATAGTTTGCGTCATGCTCTATACCATGCTGTTCTGCCCTATGACCATGGTCATAAGTCGTGATTTGGGCCAATTTGGCCTTGTTTATCTGACGAAATTGTATGGGTTTATCAAATTCAAATTCACGTGAGATGTTGTTTAACTTCGAAAAAGTGATCTGGGAGTAGTATCAAAGTGGTGGGTGGCTTTACTAGCATGGATTGGATCCCATTCAAAATGAGTTTTCGTATCTTAATTCGATATTAGCTGCAGCGGTTACAGGTGACTCTCTTTTTCCTTCAAACAATTTTCAGCGAACAGATCCACAACAATAAAGAGTCTTCCCAGCAACTCTGAAGCCAACAAGACCTTTTCAATTACTACTTTCCCAATTACAGTTCCGCTTACGAAAAGGCGAAAGTCTCGGCTGATGACCTTATCATAGTGCCTATAAAGTACGGTTGGCTGGCAATGTTCGGTAGCCTTTTTTTCCATCATCTCAACTTATTTCGACGAAAGCATGCCCTTGACTTCAGGATTCCTTGGACTGACTACAGTATTCCTCTATTACTACGATGGTCTGACTGGCCCAGATCCAGGGCTCACATGGTGGGAATGCTTTTATTTCTCCGTGCAGACCTATACCACTGCTGGATTCGGCGATATTATGCCGATTAATGTAACGGTAAGGACTCGTTTGAAAAACTGTGTCGTCAAAACTGGGCCACATGAAGCAAAGAATCGCTCTCCTTTTCCGCAGTGGGACACGGCTAGCTAGTGGGATGTTCAATATGTGTGATCCATTATGAATTATGCAACCTTAATAAGCAGCTTTTCTTAGGTGTGTAAATCGGCCGAGCCGATTTTGTAGCCGTTATTACACCCTGTCTTGGTCGTTTTTCGTCCCGACAGTGTCCCATGCGCCTCTCCTTGGGGTCCAGATGTTCAACTAGGGGCAATCTCTGGAACAACCTTCATAATGAACTGTGCCTTTGTGGGTTTTGACAGCCATTTGTGAACGCAAATATTGCTGCCCTGCTCATTTGCCAGCTTTAAGAAAAAGTTATAAAAACCCTGTTTTGAAGTTACACTTAATCATTTTGTGATAAAAAATGGTGAAATTGACGAGCAGACTGTAAAGAGGCTTAGCTCGTGGTTGCTATCACTCCCCGAATCGTTGGAAAATGAAATCCTCAAGCCTCTGATTCCAGTTCGATCCCATTGTTGGTGGTGTATACATCTTGTGCCTAGTTGTCCGTTGCCGGTTCTCAAAGTTGTCAATCGTATGACGTACTTGTATGTGGAAAATGGAATTCATGGTAAATAATAAAATTTTCTCTCAGTCAACTAACTATCAGGCAAAAGTACTTCCACTTCTAACAATATTTGACTTAGAGAAACCTAAATCAATACCCTTTATTGCTCAGTTGATTAACTTCATCTAACTGTACGTAGCTTTCTTTGCAAGAACTATAGACATGAGGAATGCTTTCTTCCTTGCTTTTTGGCAAAGTTAAAAACTACCAGTTCCAAAACGCTGTGTAACGCTTTTTCACTACAGGTTATTTCGCAGTCGTAGAGTCTCGAATCAATCACTACTTGAATACTAGAAATGCGGTGAGCGCTTTCCGTGCTAGATACCAAACGATACATAAGAAAAAATCCTTTTCAGCTGCCGTCAAGCTCGGCCGGTGCACTTCCTCATACGAGCGAGTCTAGAACAGAAGAGGTAGGGAAAAGTCGAACTCACATAACAACATGCAGAATACCAAAACTCATTGAACTGCTTTCAGAACGAATGGGCGAATAACTTCACGGTACACTCGTTGGCTGCCATGGCTTCCAGTTCCGCGGACGTCTTTGGAGGCAATTTGGGGCGCATCAACTTGCGGGCGTCCGATTTGAAACCGAATCGGCGATCTAGTACTGCTGCCTGAGTGTTTGCCCTCACGACCGCCTTCAGAAGAACTTAAGAAACAAAATGGGACAGGCTCTACGCGTGAGCGGTTGCGCCGCGGCAACTAAGGCGTTCCCGTTCAGACTTGGACATTGCTTACAAATTGGCGGTTGCGTAGCGCGTTAGAGCATTTTATTTAGCGGGTATTACTAAGAAGTAACTATCCTTCCACGATCTGAGGGCTCTTAAACTATAGCGTGGTAATGTGTGTAAGCTTTTGCTGCATGCTCATTCATTGATGCTTCTTCTATAGGCAATCTTGATTAGGAGTGAAATCTCCATGATCATTACGGTGCCTGCAAATCAAGTAAGTTGAAGGTTAATGATTGGAGAGAATAACAACGGTGGAACTAAAGCTCCTATAAAAAGTTAGGTTTCTAAACAGGAAAGTTCCCAATCTAACTAGCTGAGTTTTATTTTTGCGCATTATAAAAACCCTAAAATGGCGGATAGTAGCCCTGTAAGCTATTCCGATTCGCTTCACATTTCACATTTCACAGTGTCCACAAACACATAATTCCTAACCAGCATTATCAAAGCCTTTCTAGTTCAAATCATAATTTCTCTCAAGATGCTTTACCTTCTTAGTGTTCTCATTCTCCATAGCTTTTTATCTTTTACTCGCTTGATAACGATATGCAGACAACATAATGAAAATGAAAATGAAGTCTTCACAACTGACTAAGAACGGCTCGCAGCGAAGTGCGAAGTGTCCTCAGTCGCACAGAAGTTGGCAAGTCCTAGCCCCTAATCTTTAAGCTGGTTCGCTATTGAGATATTTACAGAGACGTCGCGGGAAAGAATATATGCATCAACATAACATAAGCGTTTCTTCTGTTCTGTGGCCATGAATTCCAGTGCAGGCCATATTCTGTACATTCATATTCGGATTTTCTTCGAAATACAAGTTATAACTCGCTTCAAAAAGATATATTCGAAGATGAATGCATTAGTAAACTCAACTGGTTCACCTCTACAGGGCGGTGCTTTGGAAATTTGAATACCTCTGCTGTAGAATAGATTAATTTTTAGGCACATCCTCTGCTTGGAAGAGTATTTTCGTCAGAAAATTTCGTGGATGACCTGATTACATTTTTACGTTTTTTCTGATATTTGACCCTAAATGTCGGTGCTCTGTATATTCTGATTATCTGAGCACGTTCTGTTTCTTTTGCGACTCCGTAGAGAACGGGAAATGAAGTGAAAACGGCGTGCTCGTTGAAGGTTAGGTTTATGTACCATTCAATAGCATTTCTTATGAGAAACCGAACGGTATATATTTCACTCCGGTTCGGTAAGGAGATAAGCTCTCAATTGCCGAAAGATGGCGCCTACTGGAATTATGACCCATTTATAATAGTAGAAGAAACGTGCACTTGTTGTTGAATCGGTCCAGTGTTACTGCAGAGCTGCCACTGTGGTCCGAAATCATCCCTAGATTTTATGGCTATCTTCTCAGGCTAGAACAAAATATCCTTCGAAGCTTGGGAGCATGTCTTAAAATTACTTCAGTATTTCCATATTTTCAGAGTAGAGCTTTAGGAGCTGAGCTCAGTGGCATGCTCAGCGTTTCTAAAAACCTGGTTCTGAACCGACAAGTGTGTGAATGTTTTCTTTCCACGAGTACATATGAGCATTCGTAAATCATTCTATATATAAACTGCTGTATTTCCGTATTTTTTGTCATGACATTTCAAGCTTCAACTCCTATTGACTCGCTACAACTTCTTTTTCTCTCTCATCGACTAAACCGAATATGTCATAGTTTAGCGCTTTCACTGTAAGTTTAACATCGAGACCGTAGGGATATGGTCAAATGCGAACTGTTGCTCAGAACTGGTGAAACTGGAATAGGTTGCTTTCAGTCGAATCTCTAAAATGCTGTTACTATCCAAATACATTAGAGTGTTGCAGTGACATTTTTGGGATTTTTTTTTGCCAACTTGTTGATGCTGCAGAATTCTACAATTTCATTTTCTATCTCACAATGAGTGATCGTTGATCTCCTTCTATACTGTTGCTTTCCTTGTCATAAGGTTACTACAAAAGCCACATGATTTTTTTGGAACCAACGTCTTCCTTCGAACCTTTATTTCGTATCGCGTCGGTTACCTATCATCTGCTAAACGAAAACAGGTTTCTTCCAATAATTCCTATAATTTGGGTGGAACTTCGGGTTGTGTTCTGAGAAGTCGAATCAAAGAAGACTAGCAAACCGGCAACTGACTAAATTTCCGCGTTCCATCACAATATACCGATTCGTGATGAACTGATTTGTAGTCGTGGTCTCAACTGAACATTTCAATGATGGGTTGTCTAATAACATAGTCATTTCTTTTTGCAGATTTGAAACGCAGTCCATGTTCTTCATATCAGATTTCCCTTCATTGTTTGAATGATCTTCGCTTCGATCCTTGCATGGCATATTATGCCGGAAATATTTTATTCCCAATATCAAATAGAATGTATCGAGAATGAGAGTGTTGACTTGTTGGATCGGTAGTGCAGTGGATTAGAGCTCCGCCATTTGTCTAGAAGGTAAGGAGTTCATTACCTTCGTATGCTCGCCTTTTGTTGAACTCTTCCTCCTTGCAAGCCAATAAAGATCCCATTGCCAATTCGCTGAAATCCTTGAAGCTGTAATATTCACTTGAAAACGCCGAGCATTTCCCTACACTTTACAGAACTTGCAAATGGGTGTTCAAAAAGTGCTCCATTCGTTTCGGCCTCCAAGAAGTAGAACCACCAAGCTCACGACCATCAATCGAGGCTGTTATCCACTACGCTCTTACAATCGACTACTTAGATCAAGTCCATGGGTCACATCGTCACATATAAACTTTAGCTTACCCCATGGCCATTTTGGATTTTTTTGCCTACTTGTTGATGAAGCGGACTTCCGATTTCAGCTACCGTTTTACAATGAATTACCGTCGGACCTCTGCTGTGCTGTTGTTTCCTTTTCATAGGGATGTTACAAAAGCCACGTCGTATTTTCCCCAACTAAACTTTCCTTTCGAATTTTTGTTTATGTATAGTGCTGGTTACCTATCATATGGTCATCAACTGCCAAAGCATGCTTCTTTCAATGATACTTATTATTTGGGAGCAATTTCTGGCTTGTGTTTTGAGAGGTCGAGTCAGGGAAAACCAGAAGAGCCGGCAATAGAATTTCCGTTTCCATCACAATACACGAATTCGTGATGAACTGATTTGTAGTCGTAGTCTCTTCTGGACATTTCAATAATGGATTGTCTAATAACGTGGTCATTTCTTTTCGCAGATAATAATTACAGTCCATGTTCTCCATACCAGACTTCCTTTCATTGTTTGAAAGCTCTTCGGTTCGATCCTTGGATGGCATGCTTTTCCGCGAATGTTTTGTTCCCAATAACGAATACGATGTATCGAGAATGAGAGAAGCGCTATATTGCCTTGATAGTGCAGTGGATTAGGGCTACGCCCTTCGCCTAAAAGGTGGAGAGTTCGTTCCTATGTGTGCCGGCCTTTTGCTAAACTCCTCCTCATCGCAAGCCTACGAAAATCGCATTGCCAATTCGTGGAAGGGTATGAAGCTGTTATGTTCGCTTGAAATAACCGAGCACCCTTTACCAAATTTGCAAATGGGTGTGAGTAATTTGCTTCATTCGTTTCAGCCTCCGAAAAATAGAAACATCGAACTCGCGAGCACCAATCAAGACTGTTATCCGCTGCGCTCTTGCAACACAACGAACTCGATTCAAGCCTATAGCCTAACTCGTCACTTAATATGCACTTGAGTTCATACCCCTGGAGCAATTTACTCTTCTGTCTGTTACCTCTCGCTGAATGAGCCCTACCAGTAAGAACAACAACTTGTACGGTGCTCATCTTGGCCGCGTGGAGCTGAGG